AATTCATTCTCTTGAATTCTTGTAACACAAAGAACAAGAAACATCAGGGGTACTTGCTTATTTCTTTATGTCAGGAAATATTTGAAGTAGATGTATTTTTAAATTATAATATCTGAGCTGGGTATGGTAGTGTTCACCTGTAATCCCAGTACACAGGAAGCTGAAGCAAGATGACTGAAATGTCCAGGCCAGCTGGGACAACACAGTGAGTTCCAGGCCAACCTGGGTTGCATAGCAAGAGCTTGTCTCAAGACCAAACCAAGAGCAGTGCATATATAAGTGCAATCCTAACAAACAGCAGACCTTTTGAAATATAAGAACTTGAGGAGAGGGTTTACAAAATGTAGCAAGTCATTGTGACAATGAATCCAAATGCTAAGCTGACCATGAAAGTTTGATTGACAACTTGCTGAGAATAAGTTTGTAAACTTTGTTTTCAAGAAAGAAAATATACAAGGGCTTGGGGCTTACCCCAGTCAGAGTGCGTATGTAGCATATACAAAACTTTGGATTTGATTCCCAGCCCTTCAAAAAAGAAACGGCTTGAAAGTATTTCTTTATAATTCTAGAATGTTCTTGGTTCACTGTACTCTTAATGTCTCTGTAATTCTTTTTTCATGTGGCTCTAGTACAAAAGAAGTACCTTACTGTTTCGTTTATTAGGCAGTTAGCCCTAAAGTTAATAATAGCAGCTTTTATAACATTTAACAGATTTTGCTATGTTTCGCTCAAAGTTTGGAAATATTCTGTGATGTTCCTTATGGATTCACATGGTTTGGAACTGTGTTGGGAGTCGGAGGAGGGGGAACAGAAACAATAGGATACATAAAAATAAGGGAGTGAGGAGGGGCATGGTGGCGCAGGCCTTTAATCCCAGCACTTGGGAGGCAGAGACAGGAGGATCTCTGTCCAGCCTGGGCCACATAGTGAGTTCCAGGACAGCTGGGGCTACAGGGAGACCCTGTCTCACACACACCAAAAAAAAAAAAAAAAGAATACCAATGAAAAGTCAGGCGTGGTGGCACATGCCTTTAATTCCAGCATTTGGGAGGCAGAGGCAGGTGGGTCTCTGTGAGTTCGAGGCCAGGCTTGTCTACACAGTGAGTTCTACCTAGCTGGGGCTACAGGGAAACCCTGTCTCAACAACAACAACAACAACAATACCAATGAATAGTAAACAGGGATGGGGATGTAGCTCAGTAGTAGAGTGGTTGTCTGGCATGCAGAAGGTCCAGGATTCAATACCAGCACTTTGGAAAACAAACAAACAAACAAACAAACAAACAAACCAAGCTAGTATTTATTGTGTGATAAGCATTTTATAATATATTTCCATATGAGCTGAGTCAGATAGCTTTCATTGGTTAAAAAAAAATTCAGAGATGGTAAGTCATGGGCTTTAATCTACTTAAGAAATTATGGTAGTTTGCAATTACAGCAAAAAGCTGTTAGAGAGATAAATCCATAGTACCTGAAAAATACTATATCCAACGAGTATATCCCATTAGAAAATAACAATTGTGGGTGGGCCATAGGCATACAGTTACATTGTAAAAATAACAAAAAACCATGGGTATAAATTAGGGTAAGTGATTGTCAAGGCTTTGGATATAAACTGACAACTAAAATACAATTCTACCACCTTTATTAAGAATGGTGAGTATTTAGGAAAGCTTATATATTTAAGAAGTTTATCTATCAAAATTATAGATCTGTATTCTTTTTTTAAAAAAAATAGATTTGTTTTTATTTATGTGCACCGGTGTGTGTCTATATGTCACATGTGTGTGGGTGCCCATGAAGGCCAGAAGAGGGTGTTGGATCCTCTGGAGCTGGAGGTAAAGGCAGTTGTGAGCTGCCTGAGGTGGATGCTGGAATTGAACTCTGGTCCTCTGGAGGAGCAGCAAGCACTTTTAACCAGTGAGCCCTCTCTCCAGCACCCCTAGATCTATATTCTGAATCTTGCTCTCCTGGTGTAACTATTAGGAATATACATATAAATGTGTATACATATTTTTGTTTGCTTTTTTGTTTGTTTTTGTTGAGACGGCCCTCCTTGTAGCCTCAGCTGGCTTGGAAACTGATATGTAGACCAGGCTGGGCTCCATCTTTCAGAGGTTCACCTGCCTCTGCTTCCTGAGTGTTGGGATTGAGGGGGACCTCCAGCCTAGCCCCTTGTTTGCTTTTTCTAAAAAGTTTTAAAAAATATTTCATTTATTATTTTGTGTGTATCAGTGTATTGCCTGCATGTATGTAAGTATACCGATGTGCAATGGAGGTCTGAAGAGGGTGTCAGATCCCCTGGAACTGGAGTTATAGATGGTTGTTAGCCACCATGTGGGTGCTAGGAACCAAACCTGGGTCCTCTGCAAGGGTAGTCAGTGCTTTTAACTGCTAAGCCATCTCTTCAACCTCCAAAGTTTTTAAAGTGTATGTGTATGTGTACGTGTCTAAGTGCACACCACATGTGTGTGGGTTCCTGTGGAGTTAGAAGGTGTCAGATCCTCTGGGGTTGGAATTACAGGAAGTCATGAGCCACCTGAAGTAGATGCTGGGAACCTAACTGAGTTCTCTTAAATTCTTAAGTTCTCTCAGTTCTCTTAACCACTGAGCCATCTCTCCAGATCCTTATTTGCTTATTTCTTTTGTGACAGGATCTTGTATAGCCTAGGCTGACCTGGAACTCATTATATGTAGGCCAGGTTGGTCTTGAATTCATAATCCCTCTGCATCCTGAGTGCTGGGATTAAAGATGCGCATCACTATACCCAGCTAAGCTAGCTATATTTGGGAATTTATGAAATTTTAAAATGTTAATTACTTTAGTTAACATTAATACAATGCCTTACAATGCCTGTGACAGTAAAAGTGTTATAGTAGTATTAAATGCCATATATATTATTTTTTGATTTATCAGGTTTATTATGGAAGAAAAAGGAAGCAAAGGGAGAAATAATAAAAAGTTTCAAATCGGCTACAACCCAAAACTCACTGCAGTTGTCAGCAAACACACACAAAGAGAAATGGACAGTATACTGTAACTCTTACAGAACTGACTGTCTAAAAGCAGGGTACATGAGTCAGTTAACTTCTTTTTGGATGTCTTACCTGATAGAAACCATAGATATTGTGAAGTTCCCTGTGTTCCCAGTTGCCATAATGAATGGCATTCTTTTGCATGGTTAGCTCTGGCCCTCTAAAGACTGAGGGTTCATTCATGTCATTCCATACGAAAAGGATATCCGTGGATCCCTAGAAGTAAATCCTGGTGATAAAAATACTCCCATAGGGATGATGACAACAGGATAGCATTCACCTATTTCTTACGCCATTTATTTACTTTTCATACTGATTGGGCAGGGAGAATCTTACTATGTAGTCCTGCCTGGCCTAGGGCTTGCTATATAGACCAGGCTGACCTCAAACTCACAGAAATCTACTTGCCTCTGCTTTCCCAGTGTGTGGATTAAAGGTGTCACCACCTCACTCAGCTTCTGCTACAAATCTTAACTAAAAGCAATTATTACCATAAAGAATCTATTTTCTCTCTAGTCTGCTAAAAGACTTGATAATTTAGTTCTCTATTTGTTAACATCATACATGGTTTGTGTTCCTTATAGAGGAAGTTCAATTTAGAGTAGGAAGGACAGGTGAGTCATCCAGTTAACATGGTATTAAAAATCTCTTTTACATAGGTCGTGGTGTCTTGCATTTGACTGAATAGCTACAATTACAGGGAGCCTCAGCAGCTCATTCCATTATTTCTGAATATCCTTCTCCTTGCAATGTGTCCTCATAAGCCCTAGCTTCCTTCCATGACAGCACAGATCATACCTGTGACCTTGTTTGATAGACAATCATTCAAATGTACAGAGGTGGCCTACATGTCAAATGTACTTCTATGAATAAGGTTACATAGTTTCCAAATATTTGCCTTCAGTGCTCTTCTTTAGCACCTTCTAGGGCAGGGACTGGCAAGTTGTTGGGGTTTTTTTTTTTTTTTTTTGGTAAGGTCCAGACAGTGATATTTCTATCTTTGCCAGCCAAAAGATCTCTTTACTGCACATACTGAAAGCAGCCATGACAATAAGGAAGTGAATGAATACAGCCATATTTGATTCAACAGTTGTGGTTCCTAGTTCTTTGTTGTTTATTTTTCTAGTATCCTAATACATGATGCTTAGAAACTAGTATTTAGTGGTTAAGGGCTGTCTGTAAGATAAACATACCTGAATTCAAATCTTGGGTTCATCACTTAGTAAATGGGTGATCTTTGTATGTTTTAAAACTTTTTACTCCTGCCAGGTGTGGTGGAGCACACCTTTAATCTCAGCACTTGGGAGGTAGAGGCAGGTGGATCTCTCTGAGTTTGAGGCCAGCCTGGTCTACATAGTGAGTTCCAGGCCAGCTGGGGCTACAGGGAGACCCTGTCTCAAATTCTTTTTTGAGACAGGGTCTCCCTGTAGCCCCAGCTGTCCTGGAACTCACTATGTAGACCAGGCTAGCCTTGAACTCACAGAAATCCGCCTGCCTCTGCCTCCCAAGTGCTGGGATTAAAGGCGTGCGCCACCATGCCCGGCTGAAACCCAAACTTTTTACTCCTTAATTTTCTTATGTATGGGGCTTAGCTTTAATTATAGTTCTAACTTTAGAGCATTGTTATGGAGAAAAAAAGGGTTAATGTATATATAAAGTGCTTAATATAGCATTTGGCACATGACGTATTTAATTTCTGTTAGGTATCATCATCACTATGATTATCTATATCACCATAATTGGTTGAAAATAGTTCCTCAAATGTGACCTCTCCAATTCTATGGTTATGAGATTAAAAAATTATTATATTTTACCTTTACTGATACATTGTGGTCTATAAGATAGTTTTACATTTGTCATATCAACTTTATTGTTGATGGGCTTTTTTTTAGCATTTTTCTTTTTCTTTTCTTTCTTTTTTTTTTTTTGAGATGGGGTCTCATGTAGCTCGGGCTGGTTTTGAACTTAATATGTAGCTGAAATGACCTTGAACGTCTGCTCGTCCTGCTTCCACCTTCTATGTGCTGGAATTACAAGCATGCACCACCATACCTGGGTTTACACCATGCTGGGGATGGGCATGCTAGACAAGGCTAGGCTATATCCCTATTCTCAAGTCTTTTTTTTTTTTGAGACCGAGTTTCACTCTGTAGCCCAGGCTGGCCTTGAATTCAGGCAGTCCTTCTGCCTCAACCCCGCAAGTGCTGTGATTACCATGCCTAGCTTCATATCAACTTTCAGTAACAGTTGTAGAAAACTATTTTATATTAAAATATACATAGTAATTAAAAAATAGAAAAATTCTCTGTTATACTGGACTTTGATATATCATATTCTGTTATAATATAGGTAAAACCCACAGCTTTTGTACATCTTGTACTGTACAAAGCATCCTTCCTAGCTCCACAAAGCCTGTAATGTAGTGGCTATGCCTTTTATATGTGCTGTATATTAAGAACTATTCAGTAAGAATAATTCTATGCAGCTACTTTTTCTTTCATCTTTTTAGGTTAACTAGAAAACATTAAAAGAATTAAAACCTACCTGATAAACAGGAAAATCAAAAAGACTTGAATACCACTCTCTGACCTTGGGACTGGTAAAATCCAGATAAGAAGAGAGACCTGTAGAGGCAGAACAGTGTGCAGTCTGTCAAGAGTGGTGGTCTTCACAGTAAGATGTGTGGTAAAGGAGATATCAGATAGTGACAAAACTTAAACCTTTCAACACTAGAGGCCATGGGAACAAATATCAGGATGGAGCCTGTCTCTCACTACTTGGCCTAAGAGAGGCAAAGTAAGGATGACAGATACTCTCTCTGCATTGATCCCAGTTTTTAAAAAGAAGAGTGGTCAAATGGTCCAAGGGAGAAAAGGAAGGCATGGAGTTTCTCCATGGTGCAAGTTTATGACTCAGTGGTGATTTCCTTTTGTCTTTGGAGAGTTTCTACCAAGGCTTTAAATGAACAATTCTGCACTGAAAAAAAAAATCTAGAGTTACCAGAGGCAGCTGGCACCATTCATAAAAGTCAGAAAGTAAAAACTAAAAGTAAGAGCAATCATAAGGGAGAGCCTGCAAGGTTTTATTCCTCTCCTCTTGCCCTTTCTTCCTCTACTTATCTCTACTTACTAAGAGAAACAGCATGTCACTGAGATTTGCTTATTGGCTTATTTTTCATTCACCCATCTGATCACTGATTGATAAAGGTATGAAGCTCACTGTACCAAGTATTATGAAAGATACCAAAGAAGGTAATATCATATCTCCCTTAAATGTGCTTAAAATATAGTTAGAAAAAGGGACATTTACAGGGAAAGAGAATGACGGCCATGTAAGTTTCATCAATTGATACTGAACTGAACAAGTAGAAATATCTTTTTTTTTTTTTTGGTCTTTTTGAGACAGGGCTCCCTGTGGCCCCAACTGGCTGGCCTGGAACTCACTTTATAGACCAGGCTGGCCTTGAATTCACAGAAATACACCTGTCTCTGCCTCCCAAATGCTGGGACTAAGGCATGCAATACCATGCCTGGCACAAGTGGAAATATCAAGTGATAACATACCAGGCCAGCACACTCCTTCAAAGTCACCTCCTTGTGGAGTCCGCACAAAGAAGCCTTCTTCCTTGGCTTTAGCATAGACTGAGTAGTCAGGATCAACCTTGATATGGGGGTCACTGATAACCACAAGCTGGCAGGACAGAAAGATTTTAAGATATCAGTTTTATGAGACTTATGTTCATTTTAATGATTTTATCATAACTTTGGGTTTTAAATTTTACTCAGAAACTACAACTTATATTATTTCAGAAATCAGTAGATCCCTCTAACTTTTCATCTACTCCAGGAAATTTAAAAGTTGATATCAAATCCAGGATAATCCTCTTCTATAATTATCACTGTTTAGTCCATACATGTTCTGAAGATGGCATTTTTTTAGGCTTCTATCTGTCTACAATGCTGGTGCTATGTGCAAAGGATTAAATAGGCAGTCTCAACTCCCTAGATACCTAGAGGCAAAAAACAAAACAAAACAATAAAGAAACCAAGAAAGGGCTAGGGAATGGCTGAGTCAGTAAACTGCTTACCTTGTAAGCATAAAGACCAGAGTTTTAGCCCCAGAATCTACATGTAAAAAAGACAGGTACTGTGATGCAGACTTGTAATCCCTGGACTGGAAAGGTGGATACAGGTAGATATATAGCCATCTAGCCATCCACACACCCCCCATCCCTTTCACCTTCTACCACACACACACCAGAAACCAAGATAATGACACATTAACAAAACAAAACAAGAAAACCAGGGCCAACAAGATGGTTCAGCAGCTAAGGGAACTTGCTGCCAAGTTCTACAATCTGAGTTTGATACCTGGAACCCACATGAGTAGGAGAAATCTTACTCTTGCAAGTTATCCTACTATATCATGCAACAAACCTACTATATCATGGCCTACACATGCCTACACACACACACACACACACACACACACACACACACACCCTCAAATCCAATGATACAGGCATAGTTAGGAAAGAGGTTTGAAAGGAGCTGAGACATAGTTCTGTATTTCTAGCATTTCTTCATGACTTTTTTGTTTATTTATAAACATATATTTTAAAAAATATTTTATTATTTTTATGTGTATGAGTGTATTGCCTGCATGTATGTGAGTGCACTGTGTTGTGCAATGCCGTGGAGGTCAGAAGAGGGCTTCGGATTCCCCTGGAATCCGGTTTGTAGCCTCCATGTGGGTGCTGGGAATTGAATCCGGTTTGTAGCTGCCATATGGTGCTGGGAATTGAACCCGGGTCCTCTGCAAGAGCAGTCAGTGCTCTTAAACACTGAACCATCTCTCCAGCCCCTATTTATTTTTATTTTTATGTGTATGAGTGTACTGCCTGCATGTGCATAAGTGCCCCAATGTCATGTAGTGCCCACGGAGGACTGAAGAGGGTGTCAGATCCCCTGGAACTGGAGTTATAGATGGTTGATAGCCACCATGTGGGTGCTGGGATTCAAACCAGGGTCTTCTGCAAGAACAGCCAGTGCTCTCAACTGCTGAGCCATCTCTTTAGCCACCCCTCCCACCTTTTTTCTTTTTTTTAAGACAGGGTCTTATTTTGTAGCCCAGGCTAGCATGGAACTCATAGTGATTCTCCTGTCTCAGTCTCCTACGTGCTGAGATTATAGACCTGTGTCAATATACATACACTGTCATGCCTGGGGAGTTTCTATTTATTTGTGTTTGTTCAGCTACGAATAAATTTTATTTAAATGTTATTAAAATGTTCAATTTAAGTTTTCATTAATTTTTAAGTTAATATATGACTTTTCATACATCTATATCATTGTACCTTGGTCATATTTCTCTGCAGTTTTCTTTCAATAGTGGCCTTATAGAGGCTGGCAGATCCCTGTGAGTTCAAGGCCAGCCTGGTCTACATAGAGAATTCCAGGCCAGTTGGACTACAGGGAGACCCTGTCTCAAAAAGGGACAATAGTGGCCTTCCTAATAGAGTCAAGTATTGTCTCATCATGGTGTTTTAAAATTTTTAATTAATGTGTGTGTGTGTGTGTGTGTGTGTGTTTGCTTCTAGGGGGTATTGTCTGTCTGTTCTCGAAGTGCTGGGGAGTAAAGCCTAGGGCCTTTTGCAAGCTAGGCAAGCATTCCACCCCTGAGTTACATCCCCAGCCCTTACTGTGGTTTGATTCACATTGCCCTAGGGATTAGTGCTGCTGAGCATCTTTTCATGTGCTTGTTGGCTATTTGTCCGTCTTCTCAAGAGAATGTCTATTCAAGTCTTGTCCATTTTTGAAGTGCTCGGGTTTTTGTTGCTGAGTTGTTGGAGTTTGTTATCTACTCTGTCACTGTGCTATATTGCAGTTGTTGTATGCGTGCCTTTTCCCCACTCATTGAAAGACCCCTTCAGTGCTAGCATAGCACCTTGAACAGTCAAAAAAAATGTTTTAAATTAAAAATTTAAAAAAGAGGCCAGGCGTGGTGGCACACGCCTTTAATCCCAGCACTCGGGAGGCAGAGGCAGGCAGATCTCTGTGAGTTCAAGGCCAGCCTGGTCTACAGAGTGAGTTCCAGGACAGCTGGGGCTCCAGGGAGACCCTGTCTCAAAAAGACCAAAAAAAATTTTTTTTAAAAAGAAAGATTAAGGAATGAAAACCAACTGCTTATATGGACAGCAGTTCTAGAGTCAGGCAGATGAGGGCTCAGAATCTTCCTGCTATCTGTTCACTGTATGTCCTTGTACACGTTACGAAACCACCGTAAACCTCAGCTTCCTCATCTGAAAAATGGGGAATAAAATCAACCTCATAGTTTTATGATGACTGGAGGGAATAATATGTTTATTAGACTGCTTAGCCCATAATTAAGTGCTTGACAAATGGTACCTATTAAGTAATTGAAAAATTAGGAGATAACAAGACTGACTGATCACCTGTGAAATGCTCGGGGATCAAAGGAATAGGTTGAAAAGGCAACTTCAATTTCAGAGGGAGGGTTACATCCATTTACACGGAGCTGTCCTCCTCCTCCTCTCCCCATTCTCTTCTCTCCCTTTCCCTGTTCATCACTGCTATTCTCCCTCTCACCAACCCCCACAGCCCTCCTGGAACATGAAAGGAGCATTATACACTTCCCAGCGGCTTCTCCCCTTCCGTTTTTGTTTTGTTTTTTTGAGAAAGGGTCTCCCTGTAGCCCAGCTGGCCTAGAACTCTCTGTGTAGACCAGACTGGCCTCCATCTCCCAGAGACCTGCCTCCTTCTGACTCCCAAGTGTTGGGATTAAAGGTATGCGTCACAAGCCTGGCTCTCCTCCTCCCTTTTAAAATCTCAGTTCTTTCCTTGGCCAGATTCACAGGTAGAGCCCATCTGGGAAGTGTGTGGAAGAATAAAGAATCTGACTTCATTTGTGATACTCTATTACAAAAGGCTTCCAAGCCCCACCCCACCCTCTTACCCTTCTGCCCACATATGAACGAGCTGACAAAGAAAGCTCTGGTACGCCCTCCTTGGTACTAGAATGGAATTGTGGGAGTTTATTTTTAATTTTAATCTTAATTATTTTTTTATGTGTATGAGTGTTTTGCTTGCATGTATGTAAGTGTACCTGCAATGCCCATGAAGGTCTGGGACTGGAGTTACAGATGGTTGTTAGCTGCCATGTGCTGGGAAACAAATTTGGAAGAGCAGCCAGTGCTCTTAACCACTGAGCCATCTCTCTAGCCCCTCCCGACCCTTTTTTTTTTTTTTTTTACATTTTTAGTTTATTTTTTGTGTGTGTACACATGCAATCACACATGACACAGTATGCCTATGGAAGTCATAGGACAACCTGCAGGAGTGAGTTCTCTCCTTCTGCCTTGTAGGTCCCAGGGACCTGATTCAGGTCACCAGGCACCTTTACCAATCAACTCATCTCACTGGTCCCTAACAGGAAGTTTAAACAATGAAAGCTCCATCCTATACCATGAAAGAGCCCTCATCACCCTTTACCTACCAGGGAAACCGAGCTGGTTTTGTTTCCTAGCTCTCAAGCCATTTTCAAAGTGGCTTGGGACAGCCCTCCTCTCCCCAGAAGGCCTCATTATATGAGTAATTAGCTTTTTCACTCTTGGAGTATTTATGGCATCATTAATTTTGACAATGGAACTGAATTTTGAGGGGGAGAGGTGCTATCACATCAGGGTTGCTGCCACAAATGGGACCAAAAATGCTGGGCCCTTCATCATCCTTAGGATTTACATGGCTGAGCAGGGAGGATAGTCATTGCATTTTACCATATGTCTTCTGTTATCACAGTTATAATTTCATTTGAAGGCACCCATTTTCATGGCCATTTTTCATCAGCTGTCTTCTTTTGCTAATGTACCAAGACAAATTTAAACCACTTAAAAAGTTTTGTAATGAAAAAGCTTCAGAAATCTGGCTTGTTTTACCTTTCGTTTTTTGCTCCTGAGCAGCTCTTGCATCCTTTTGGGGTTTGCAAATCTTTTTTTGTCCCAGGTGAAGTACTTCTTGCCCTCAGTGTGCTCTATGTCCAGCCACATGACATCATATGGAATGTCGTGCTCATCAAACCCTGCATCCACTGCCTTCACATCCTGCTCATCCTCATAGTTCCAGCGGCACTGGTGGTACCCCAAGGAGAAGAGAGGGGGCATGGCTTGTGTGCCTAAAAGAGGAAGATGACAGCAAGGCCACCACCATCACAATGATCATTACTCATTCGGTAAATATCTCCTCAATGTCTACAGGGTATTGTACACTGAGACTGATACTAAATAGAGTATCAAGGACAAGATAAAATAGACCCTGCTTTCAAGAAAGTGGCAATTAGGGTGCTGAGGCAGGCATGCAAATAGACTTCTCTGCTCTGAGGTATAACTGAGCTGAAGGTATCAGCCTAACATTGAGGGAACATAAATAAATGCTGCCTACAGAGAAAGGAGGGATCTTTAGAAGTTTCCCAGGACAGATAACAAGGGTTTGGGACTTGAATAATACATAGGAGGATGTCAGACAGGGACAGACAGAGTACATGGGACCAGAGAGTAGAAGAACACAAAGGCAAGGAAGTACAGGTGAAAATAAATACCACAGGGGTTACAGTGTGAGAGAGACCAACAGAAGACGAAATTGGAAAGGATCAGTTGGTGAACAGTCCTGTACTTCAAGCTCAGAATTCTAAATCTTCTCTTATAGGAAGCCATCAACACTTTGGCAAAGTAGGGGCTATGGATGTAGTTCAAATGGTAGAATGATTATCTAGCATGTACAAAGTCCTGGGTTTACTTCCTAGAACCCTATAAGACTGGGAGTGGTGATACATGCCTGTACTCCCAACACTTGAAAGGTAAAGGCAGGAGGATCAGAAATTCAAAATCATTCTTGCATATATAAAAAGTTCAAGGTTAGCTTGAAATACATGAGACTTTGGGGTTTTTGTTGTTGTTGCTGTTTGTTTTTTAAAGGGGCCATTGAGATGGCTCAGTAGATAAAGGCTCTTCTTACTAAGCCTAATGATCTGAGTTGATCCCCAGGACCCACATAGTGGAGAAAGAATTGACTCCCCAAGTTTATCCTCTGACCTCCACACATGCTTCAGGGCATGAGTGCATGAGCACATATACAGACATAATAAATTAAATAAGTAAAATGTAAAACTAAATAAATAAAATGACAAGATGTAACCTAGGCAGACATTTGTTTTTATTATTTAAAAAAATATTTTATTATTTTTATTTTATGTGTATGTGTGTATTGCCTGTATGTACGTAGGTGCACCCATGTTATGCAGTGCTCATGAGGACAGACGAGGGCGTCAGATCAACTGGAGTTATGGTGGACAGTTGTTAGCCATTCCGTAGGTGCTGGGATTTGAACCCTGGTCTTCTGTGACAGCCAGTGCTCTTTACATCTGAGTCATCTCTCCAGCCCTATTATTATTATTATTATTATTATTATTATGAACTTGTTATATAGACCAGGCTGGCCTCAATCTCACAGAGGTCTGCCTGCTTCTGCCTCCTGAGTGCTGGGATTAAAGGCATGAACCACATGCTCAGCTTTGTTTTTATTATTTATTTATTTATTTATTTACTTACTTATTTATTTTTGGTCTTTTTGAGACAGGGTCTCCCTGTAGCTCCGGCTGCCTGGAACTCACTCTGTAGACCAGGCTGGCCTCGAACTCACAGAAGATCTGCCCGTCTATGCCTCCCCAGTGCTGGGATTAAAGGCATGCGCCACCACGCCCAGCTGTTTTTATTATTTTTAAACTATATTTATTCTCTCTCTTTCTCTCTCTCTCCCTTTCTCTCTCTTTCTACCTGTAGGCCTATGTGAGCCATGTACTTATGTGAAGATCAAAGGATAACTTGTAGAAGTCGTTCTTTCCTTCCACCCTGTGATTTTGGAGATCAAACTCAGGTCATCAGGCTTAGTGGCAAGTGTCTTCATCCACTGAGCCATTTCCCTAGCCTCCAGACATGTTTCAAGTCAGTGAGCAATGTTGAAGCTGAGTTGAAGGGAAAGAGACTGAAGTTTGGAGCTCTATCAGAAAATTACTGATACAACATTTACTGATGATATGGGAGACTTCTGCCTTTTTTTTCTTTCCTTTCCAAAATCTCACTGAAATCAGAATAAAGAAAATAAAATAGGAATAAACCTACAAAACCAAAGCGTATGGAGGGAAGTAAGTTCCACACAAATCTAGAAGGTTACACATAGGAGAGAGGTAGACTCTGATCAAATTTAGGTCATCAGGATTGGTGGCAAACACCTTTACCTGATGAGCCATCTTGCTGGCCTAGCCTTCTATCTTTTAAGGATCAAATATTTTGTGCTGAAGAGATGGCTCAGCAGTTAAGAGTACTTGCTGTTCTTGTAGAGGACCAGGGCTTGGTTCCCAGTACCCACATGGCAGCTAACAACCATCTGTAATTCCAGTTCCAGAGGATCTGATGCCCTCTTCTGACCTCTGCTGGCACTGCATGAAGAAGTACACTAACATACATGCAGACAAAACATTCATACACATAAAATAAAAATAATTCTAAAAAATCTTAAAGATCAAATATTGTATTGCTAAAGCCAGTAATAAATATATACTTTTTGAGACAGGGTCTCCCTGGCCTGGAACTTCCTATGTAGACCAGGCTGGCCTTAATCTCACAGAGAGCTACTTGCCTCTGTTTCCTGAGAGCTGGAATTAAAGGTATGTGCCATCATGCCTTACTCAATGATATATTTTAATGGAGAAGAAACTATGCAAAAGTGCATGTTGGAATACTGTTCACTTGAGTTAAAGGTGGAAAATTCACAGAGACTAAAGGCTCTGAGGAAGCAAATGGCAAGTATTAGAGATCATACAGTAGACAGTTCTAGAGTGTCATGTTTAGCTGGTCTGAATGCAATAAGGGTAGGAAGAAAAATGCTTGCTACTTAAAATGCTTAAGAAAGTTGTAATTTCTACATAATGGACAATAAATATTAACTTACAACAATGATACATAGGACAGAGGTAACATAATGGAGCTGGAGAATGGCCATGTTCTTTATACAGGTACCTGTAAGGTAAGAGTATTGCTTGAAGATGTCAGAAGGTGTAGGTCCCAGCAGCAGAAAAACATCAATGATCCCACTCTCTGACATCCAGCGCACATCAGTTCGACATCCGACTTTCTGTTTAGCAGCAGCTGGGCCTACCTGGGTCAGTGTGTACTGGAAAAGGAATATAATGAAAATTCTGAGAAATTCACTCTAACCTATAGCATCCAGTTGTATATAAGTCGTCGTCTTCAGCAGCTACTGATTCATTGATTACACTGCAAAGGTTTTGGTGACAGAAAAATATAACTGCAAAGAAAAAGGCTATGAGTACAGTGCAGGGGTTTTATTTCTTCTGTATGACATGCAGCCATGATCCATAGCTCACCTCTACTGCTGGCTCTGTGTTGATCTCCACTAGTGTTTCTGAAGCATTCAGCCAGAAAATGCCTATAGTCCTGCCCTGTTTGTGGGCCAGGAGATAAGGCACTGAACCATAAATGCCCATTTTATCATGTATTTGATATCCATAAACATCCAGGTTATAAAGGCGGTAAGCATCTCCATCCCTGAAACACAAATAAGGCTTACCACCACAAATAGATTGTTAATGAACAGAACAGCTTCATTCTCTCCTGTAAACAGGAGGTCTCACATAGCTTTCAATACTCAACTCCTACTAGGCATGATAGAACACACCTGTAATCCCAGCACTTGAGTGATAGAGGCAGGAAGATTGCATGTTTGAGGCCAGCCTAGGCTGCATAGAAAATTCTAGGCCAGCCTGGGTATGTAACAGGACTCTGTATCAAACCACTCCCCTAAAAAGACTCAACTCTTATCTTGCCTAAAGGTTTTCTGACCCAACTGGGTGCATTCTTCTTTAGACCCTCCTCTTCTGATTCCTTTCACACCCTGGATACCATGGGCTTAGATACTTAGATACTTTTTCTAAATGTCCCTTATGAAGGAAGGCCTGACTCTTCCCTGTGAATCCTCAAGAATAGCAGATACATACTAAGCCTCCTCCACTGATGGACTGTGTGAAATTTCTCTGTAACTAAAGCAAAAGATCACCCTAACATTCCTCCACAGAGTTGAGGGGGGAAAGATCAGGAACTGGACTAAGGTGGGGGCACAGAGCGAGGGTGGCATGAGAGCAGCACTGTTTCTGATGGACTAGTCACTGTGCCTACCTGTTGAGTAAACTGTTCCCAAATCCGGCAACTCTGTTCAGCCTCTGCTTCTCTTTGGTGTTGTTTCCTTAGGTGGATGCCTGTGGTATCTGTTTGTCAGTAGTGTGAGGCTGAATGTTATCCTTGAGGGAATCATAGGCAACTGGAGATACCATACTTTTCCATTCTCTGGCTCATTATCCCCTTTAAGTATAAAAATCCTTTTCTAGGTCAGTGATTTTTTTTTTTTTTTAGTGTATTCTAAAAAATACACAGGGTTTCACAAAAAGGTCCTGAAAGACTACTTCCAATAGACCTTATTTTTACTTCTTCTGTATTTTGGTACAATATTACAGTTCTTAAAATGAATTAATCTATTGTTAGTATGAGTGTGTTTGGGGGTAAGCATACATGTGGAAGTCAGAGGACATCTTTGTGGCATTTTCTCTCTCCTTCCACCTTTAAGTGGTGTCCTAGTTTCATTTCTGTTGCAGTGAGAAATACTCTGACAAAAAGCAACTTAGGGAAGAAAGTGTTTATTCGGCTTACAATCAGGCTGCAGTCCACTATTGTGGGGAAGTCCAAGGCAGGAACTTAAAGGATCCCATCCAAGTCAAGAGCAGAGAGAATGAACACATGGATCCTTGCTTGCTCTCAGCTAGCTTTCTCTTCTCAGTACTGTTCAGGACCCCCTGCCTAGGAAATGGTACCACCCACAATGTGATGTCTTCCTATATCAAATAAAGATCAAGACAGTCCTCTCCAGAATGCCCACAGGCCAGCCTGATCCAGACAATTCCTCATTAAGACTTCCCAGGTGATTCTAGGTTGTGTCAAGTTGAGAGCTAAAACTAACCTGCACAATAAAACTAATCTGCACACTTGGGTTTCAAGATCAAACTCTCAAGTCATCAGGGTTGTGTGGTAAGTGCTTTTATTCAGAGCCATCTTGCCAGTCCTTGGTTCAATAGTATAGCTTTTCTGATTGTCTAACTTTTTTTTGTTTGGTGGTGGAACTGGGGATTGAGCCTAGGGTCTCAAACATGCCAGGCAAGTTCCCTAATGTGGGAGCTATATCCCCAGTTGATTGTCTAATTGTACTTTAACACAACTGAAAACTACTACTCAGGGTGGTCATTAAGAAAGGTTTAAATTTTGTATTTATGTGTATGGATGTGTTGCCTGCATGTGTGTAAGTGGACCATATGCACGCAATGCTCTCAGAAGCCAAAAGAGGGTGTCAGATCCCCTGGAACTGGAGTTACTGATGGTTGTTAGCTACCATGTAAGTGCTGGGAACCAAACCTGGGTCCTCTGCAAGAGCAGCTTGTACTCTTAACCACTGAGTCATCTCTCCAGCCCCAAGGAAGATTTTTTTTTAACTCTGTAAGCAATATTAAACCAGAGAATATCATAAGAATTCTTATTTTCACTTACCTAGTATTCTTAAGTTGGTGTGATTCTGCATGTTGTGGGATACCATAAAGATGTTCAAATCCATACAGGGAGAAATCCAAACCAACAGAGGAAGGGCCTGTAGAGACCAGAATGGGGATGAGTTTTGCCTCTCAATAGATCAATCAAGAAGATTCAGTTAACTATGAGTATAGCAAGACAACTAGATGAGGAGTAGAGTGACCTGAGCCTGCCCTAATCAATTTGCAATGCTGTACACTGGTTCTAAGATGCTGTGATATTTGAGTATTGGTGGTATACAAAAATATGTATCTGGAACGGCTCTGCTCACTTGCTAGGTAGTCACCAGAGCTGTGTGCTGGGGTGCTCTGCGTTTATTTATTTATTGTCTCTTTACTATCTGTAAGTGGTACAAAGCTTTAGATTTTTCCTAATCAAAAAAGCCCTAAAATAGTATTACATACTTCTTTGCTTTAGGAAGCAAAGGCTATTGAGCACTTTTAATCTTTACTGGATGAGTCAGTGTGTATCTTCTGCTTGACAATCTCACTGTCAGCCTAGTGTGGCTGCCTACAAGGACTATTATGTCAACAGCAGTAGGAAGGCCTTTCCTGAGGCAGTTCCTCAAAATACAACTTCCCACAACTCTAGGTATATAAACATCCTCTGAAAAAAATGTAAAGTCCTTTATTTAACCACTATTTCATTAAAAAGCACAAATAACCAGGAGATACAACATTGATTAAATCTACACTGACCTTTAAGTATTTGACATCAAATGGACTCTTGTCAGAGTTTGTGGAAAAGGGGTGTCAAAGAGCAGGTAAAGAAGACCTTGATGTTATAGAAGAAGCATCTGAGACTGTCACCTAGTTAAAAATGCTCAGCATTCTGTCAGGCCTGATCATTTTCACCATGCCATATTTCACCATGCTGTAAATACAGAGGGCTAAGCAGGGAGTCTCAAGGAGTTTGGGCAGGTTTGTTAGTCTGGAGAGCAGGGTTTGTGAGTGTTTTCCTAACCATATAAACCCAACATATGTGAGTCCCACAGCTTGTGAGAAATGTCACAGAGGGGCATGTGCCAGCCACATGAATGAGGAAGCCTTGAAAATACTGAGAACCACTATGTGGGAATGTTGGAGTGGATGAGCTCTACAACCTGAGTTTTCATCCCTGAAATCTCATCAGAACAGAATGTAGAATTTATAGCTGTCTAATTTACTCACCAGGGCAAGCAGTGTGCTTGCTGTAGCCCTTCCCTGAGACTGTAAGCTGCATATGGCCTGTGTGTCTTTTACATTCCTCCCTAAAGGTATATAAGATCACCACTTCTCTATTGCAATGTGTTATTGAAGAATAGGGAACCCAACCCGAGATTTCTGTTCACCTTTCAGAAGTCACTTGTTTTGGGTGCCAAAGCTTAGGGGATTTGTTATTTATTTATTTATTTATTTACTTACTTACTTTACTTGATTTTATTTGTTTAGGGTGCTGGAGATTGAACCCAGGATCCCACACATTAGGTAAATGCTCTACCACTGAACTGTAGCTCCAGCCCTCAAAAGACTTAAGAGATATTTAACTATTTTGGAATGATCTATTTTAATATTATACTATTAACTTTGACAATTTACCATTAGCTTTGACATCCACAAATTTTCCAAATTTCTCTTCCCAAAGGCCTAGATCCTCTTGATTTTCCTATTGATATAAAAAGGGGAGCAAATTGAAATTCTAAATGGCAACAAATGTGGTTACTACAACAGTTTATCTTATTTGGGTTATTAAAAAGAGTGAGGGGCTGGTGAGATGGCTTAGTGGATTAAAGCTCTTAGTACCCAATGATGAAAAAAACCAACAACCTGAGCTCAATCCCTGAAACCCACATAAAGGAGAGAACTGACTCTACAAAGTTGTTCTCTGGCTTCTACATACACACAGTAATACCCCCTGCCCCCCAATCCTAAACACACTGAGCTGGTTAGTTTTTGTCAACCTGACACAAAGTAGAATTACCTGGGCCTAGGACCTTCAAATGAGGAACTGACTTCATTAGACTGGCCTGTGTGCATGTGTGTGAGGCATTTTCTTTTTAAAAAATATTTTATTATTTTTATGTGTATGGGTGTATTGCCTGCATGTGTATAAGTGCACCTGTGTCATACAATGGCTGCAGAGGTCAGAAGAAGGCATTGGATTCCCCTGGAACTGGAGTTATAGTTTTTAGCCACCATGTGGTTACTGGGAACAGAACCCAGGTCCTCTGTAAGAGCAGCCAGTGCTCTTAACTGCTGAGCCATCTCTCCAGCCCAGCCCTTTTAGCCATTTTCAAGTGCACAGTTCAGTGTCAAGCACATATGCTCTCTGATGCCCATCATCAACCATCCAATCCCAGAAATTCCTCATCTGTCAAACTGAATTTCCCTGCTAAAAACATCTCCCCATTGCTCCCTGTCTCTACTCCTGGAAAAACCATTCTAATTTCTGTCTCTATGAATTTGGCTGGTTACCCCTAATGTGGACTCACAGTACAGTACCTGCTGTTTTATGACAGTTCACTTTACTTAGGATGTGTTCAAGTTTTATTAATTTTGTAATGTGTCTAATTTTTGTTTTAAGGCTGAATAATATTCCATTTTGTATATATGTCACATTTTGGCTTTTTCAGTAGATTCCTGACTTGTGTCCTCCTTATGATTTCTATGACTAATGCTGCTATATACTCCCTTTTGGGTACATGCCAGAAGTAGAACTATTGGATCACACTAACATTCTATGTTTAATTTTTTGAGGAACTGCTATGTCATTTGTCATGAATATCTTCATGTGACTGGAAATATGAAAGTGCTTTGAAAAATGCAGCCTTTTCATATGTAAGAACCAGAAGGAAAAATTTCATGTAAACATGAGATAAAGCGTTGAGAGACCATAAACAGACATTAGCTTTTATTTGTATGAGTACTTTTCTTCCCTGCTTCAAACAAATACACTCTTGTGCTGGTTTAAGCAGTCAAATAAACTGTGACAGCAGTGATGTCTTATGTCTATACTCTTTTGATCAAGAGATATAACTTTCTCAGCTTTATAAGACTTCTATTCTTATTAGAATTAAAAACTTTGTGTGTGTGTGTGTGTGTGTGTGTGTGTGTGTATGTGTCTTTTTGAGACAGGGTCTCCCTGTAGTCCCAGCTGGCCTGGAACTCACTATGTAGACTAGGCTGGCCTTGAACTCATAAAGATCTGCCTGCCTCTGACTCCTGAGTGCTGGGACTAAAGGCATGCACCACCATGCCCAGCTTAAATGAAAAACTTTTTTTTTTTTTTAAAGAACAAGTACCTTTTTTAACTTTTAAAAAAACTTTATTTATTATTTTTATTTTATGTGTACGCATGTATTGCCTGCATGTAAGTAAGTGCACCCATGTCGTGCAATGCCCATGGAGGTCAGAAGAGGCTGTCGGATCCCCTGGGACTGGAGTTACAGACAGTTGTTAGCTGCCATGTGGGTGCTTGAATTCAAACCTGGGTCTTCTGTAAGAACAACCAGTGTTCTTAACCACTGAGCCATCTCTCCAGCCCCGAAAAACATTAAAAATAATTTTTTATGTGTATGTGTGTATCGCCAGCATGTGGGTAAGTGCACCCATGTTGTGCAATGCCCATGGAGGACAGAGAGACTGCTGGATCCCCTGGAACTGGAGTTAAGGACAGTTGCTAGCTGCCATATGGGTGCTGGGATTCGAACCCAGGTCTTCTGCAAGAACAGTCAGTGTTCTTAACCACTGTGCTATCTCTTTAGCCCCATGAAAAACATTTTTAAACATGGTATATAACATAAATATTGCTTTGAAATAGTTCCCCATTTCTTATGTTTTCATAATCAAAGCTTCTTTAAGGTACGACTATACACTTTAAGTCACACTTGAAGCCTCCTTTTCCTTTTTCTGTCTACCAACAGAATAAATATATGTATACTGTATACATACTATACACCACACACACACACACACACACATACACGCACGCACACACACACACATACTTCCCACTCTTTTTGACTGACTAATGCATACTAATGCACTGTTCAGCTTTAACACCATTTCCTTTAGGTATTTTCAAACTGTTATCTTGGTCAAGTCCCTTGTGTTCTACTATAGCCTCAGAGAATACAAGCCCTAACCTCAACCCTAAGGTACTATAAAACTCATGCTTGTAAAACTCCTTATGCTTTTAATTATTTAGTTAATGTCTGTCTTTCTCAGGAGATTCTAAGTTCTATGACTATGGGTTTGGGATTTGTTTTATTCAAGGCTGAGTCTCTTTGCCTAGCATAATGCCTGGCATAATGCAGGCACTCAAGTTGCATCTGCTTTTATGACTGAATACATGAATGACGAAATGAATGAAAGAATTCTCAGGATGGGGAACATGGCTCAGTAAAGTTCTTGCATGGCATGAGGACCTGAGTCTGGATCCCCAGCACCCATGTAAAAAGCCAGGCAGCATGACATAATGCCTGAAATCCCAATGCTGGGGAGGCAGAGAGAGGAATGTGTTTGGGGCTCACTGACCAGTCAAGTCTAGCTGAATGGGTGAGTGCTAGGTTCAATGAGAGAACTTGTCTCAAGAGAATAAGATGGGGGCCAGCAAGACAGCTCAGCAGGTAAAGGGGCTTGCCACCAAGTCTGATGACCTGAGTTGAATCCCCACGACCCACATGGTGAAAAGGAGAGAAATGACTCTCATAAGCTGTCCTCTGATCTAAAGACACACACACACACACACACACACACACACACACACACACACACACACACACACACACACAGAGTGGCTGAGGAGAACACTAGATGTTGATCTCTGACCTTCATCTGCCTGTGCACATATAAATGTACACACACAAATACATACCCACACCCACACCAACACCCCACAGAAATAAGATGCTAAGGTGAGTAAAAGGGACAGGTGATTCCCTTTGTATATAGTACCACATTTAACAAGTATCCTTATATAGAAAGGAGGAGCAGAATTCTTTACATGGTACACGTTTATGATGGTGTTAAAGATGACAAAGGTGCTGGGCGTGGTGCTGCATACCTTTAATCCCAGCACTCGGGAGGCAGAGTCAGGCGGATCTCTGTGAGTTCAAAGCCAGCCTGGTCTACATAGTGAGTTCCAGGCCAGCTGGGGCTAAAGGGAGACCCTGTCTCAAAAAGACCCCCCCAAAAAAGATGACAAAGGTAAATTATGAAATCACAATTACCTGAGAGGTGTCAGCTGCTGTACTCTCCTCATTTCCTTTGGTAGCTCTGTTTTAACATAAATAAAGTTGTTTCACTCAACAGAAAATCTGATAGAATTGAATTGAAGGATAAAGACTTTCATTTCTAAGTCTTCATAAACTATATCTTTTATTTATTTTTAAATATTATTTTTATGTATATGAATGTTTTGCCTACATGTGTATAAGTGCACCCATAACATGCAATGCCCTCTGAGGTCAGAAGAAGGCACTGGATCCCCTGGAATTGGACTTTTGGATAGTTGTTAGCTGGGAATGTGGGTGCTGGGAGTTGAACCTAGGTCCTCTGCAAGAGCAACCAGTGCTCTTAACCACTGAGCCATCTCTCCAGCCCCATATCTTTTAATTTATTAAATATAACATTATAGGCCAGGTGGTGCACACCTGTGATCCTAGGATTTAGGAGGCTAAAGCAGAAGAACAGGAAGCTCAAGGTCATCCTTGTCTACAAGTGAGTTCAAGGTCAACCTGAACTATGACATACTCTCTCAAAAGACCAAAAGCAGGGCCAGCAAGATGGCTCAGCAGGTAAAGGCGCTTGATCTCAAGTCTGACAACCTGAGTTTGATCCTTGAAATTCACATGGTGGAAGTAGAGAACCAATTCCCGTAAGTTGTCCTGACTTTCACATGTGTGCTGTGATACATGAATGCCCATATATATACACATACAAAATAAACAAATGTAATGGGGCTGGAGAGATGGCTCAGTGGTTAAGAGCACTGGCTGCTCTTGCAGAGGACCCAGGTTCGAGTCCCAGCATCCACATGGTGGCTAACAACTAACTGTAACTCCAGTTCCAGGGGATCTGATGCCCTCTTTTGACCTCCGAGGGCATTGCATAACACAGGTGTACCTATCTACATGCAAACAATATGCTCATAATGTAAAATAAAAATAATACATATTTTAAAAATAAATAAATGTAAAAAAAATCTTTTAAAAACAGAATAAAAACATCATTATAAAGTTTTAAGACTGAACATTAATAATGAACATTAAGCCCAAAGCTAGATTTCTTTACACAAATGTAGATATATCTGGATTGTATTTTTTTTTAAATTTTTTCTTTATTTTTATTTTATGTGTATGAGTGTTATGCCTGCATATGTGTAAGTGCACCCCTGGTGTGCAGTGCTCTCGGAGGTCAGAAGAGGGTGTATGATTCCCCTGGAATTGGAGTTACAGATGGTTGTTAGCCATGTAGGTGCTGAGAATTGTACCTGGGTCCTTTGCAAGAGTAGCCAGTGCTCTTAACCTGCTGAGCCATCTTTCCAGCCTCTGTCTTTTATTCTTTAGAAACCTATACCAGGGGCTGGAGAGATGACTCAGCAGTTAAGAGCATTGGCTGTTCTTGCAGAAGACTTGGGTTTGAATCCCAGCACCAACATGGTGGCTAATAACCGTCTGTTAACTCCGGTTCCAGGGGATTTGATGCCCTCTTCTGTCCTCCACAGGCACTGCATGACACAGGTGCACTTACACACATGCAGGCATAACATTCATACACATAACTAAAAAATCTACATTAATTTTTAAATTATAGATTTGACACATGAGCTAGCATGGCAGCATACACATGTTATCCCAGCATTTGGGAGGTGAAAGCAGGATGATCTCAAGTTTGAAGCCAGCTTGGGTTACATGGTAAGACCCTGTTTTGTGTGAGTGCTAGGAATCAAACCTGGGTCCTCTGCAAGAGCTGCCAGTGCTCTTAACCACAAAGCCATCCCTCCAGTCACTTAAGATTTTAGAAAAGATAATGTGTGATTGTATATCAACTTGACAGGATTTAGGATCACTTAGGAGATAAGCCTCTGGGCATGCCTGTGAGGGACTGTATAGATTAGGTTGAAGTGGGATGATTCACCCTGAATACAGGTGGCATCATTCCATGTCTGGATAAAGCTGGCTGAGCACAAGTATTCATAACTCTCTGCTTCCTGATGGTAGACACAATGTTGCCTCAAGTTTTTGCCACTATGACTCCCCTGTCCTTGATAATTTTCTGCCTGCTGGATTCATCCATTTCTCATCAGTATCATTCATTTCACTTATATGTAAGCAGACATCCATCCCTCCCTCCCTCCCTCCCTCCCTCCCTTCCTTCCCATTTTATTTTGAGACAAAGTCTCAATATGTAGCCCAGGCTGGCCTGGAACTCTTCATCTTCCTTGTGTTTGCCTGAGTGCTGAGATACTTACAGGCAGGTACCAACACATCTGGTTTATATTTGGCTCAGGAAACCAATTATCTATAATAATTTGTCATCTGTTTAGGCAACTGGTATTTATAGTCAGGATTTATTAGGGTCCTTAAGTGTCAAGTAATGTATTAAAAATACCTTTGCTTCTGGGGAATCTGTAGGTGTTCAAAGTATAACTGACCCAGGGAATTTATGCTGAGCACAGTCTCTTTCTTAAATTCTAAGTCTATCTTGAATGGGTTTGCTGTGATATGACACTTCAGATCTCCTTTTCCATTAGCCAGGATCAGGCTGCCTGCATCCCCTGAGCATGAAACCAGCCTGAAAAATGAAAAAGGAGGAGAAAATAAAAAATAAATTTTTGAGGTTTACATGACTGTATGTGATTTGCAATTCAAAATAGTTACTTAGCAAATAAAATAGTTACTTAGCAAATAAAATAGTTACTTAGCAAATTAGTTTTCCTGGGACAAAGAACAAATAAGACCATGGCGCCATCTTGAGGAGCATGGCTTTGAAGACAGAGCCTGGACTGGACATGACTCTATCATATACCTTATAACCATGGGTAGCAAAGTTACTCAACTTTTTAAGGCCTAATTACTTATCAGTAAAGTACACATAATAGCAAAAACAATTAAGAATTTTGAATGAAAATTCAGTGAAATCACGCATGTAAAGCAGTTGGCACAGGCTGAACATATAAACAACAAATGTTAATCATCATCACCATTGCTTCTGTCTGTAATATCTAGTAACACTTGGGTGTATAGAATCTAAACTATTTTTAATTTTAAAATTACATATTAATTTATTTTGTGAGTGTGTGTGTGTGTGTGTGTGTGTGTGTGCCATAGTGCATGTGTGAAGGTCACAGGACAGCTTGCTGAAGTCAGTTCTTTCCACCATGTGGGTCTAGGGGATCAAACTCTGGTTTCCAGGCTTGGTGGAAAGTGCTTTTACCTTCTAAACCAAATCACTGGTCCTGAAAAAATCATACACTTCTTTAGGAAGGCAAGTCTTTTCCTTATGGGTTTGGCTGTAATAGGCTCTCTGAGCAAGTTGGGATCTGACTCTGACAAAAGTTTTGGAGGCAGTTAAGGCTGGTAAGGGTGAGGTATAAGGAACACTGAACTTTGCAATGACTATCTTAGATGAGGTTTATTCAAGGGTTCAGGAAAGGCTGGGTAAAATTATCAGAAGGAGGGAGGGAGGGAGGGAGGGAGGGAGGGTCAACTTGACTGGACGAACTGAAATGATGAGAGAGAGAGAGAGAGAGAGAGAGAGAGAGAGAGAGAGAGAGAGAGCTGCTTCTGCTGGAATGGGAAACTCACTGGCGTTTTGAAGTTTGGGTATTTAGAGTTATCTAAATCTTCTCAAATGTTTACAGTCACAATGTTCTGCAGTAATGCCCTAAATTCATGGACCTGAGGAGGCTATGAATTCAGCCTGTAGTCTAATTCAGCAGCCCACTGCATAAAACTCTGGATCTGATTTGCAGCTCTAAGGACCATACAGTTATATAAGAGACAGATAGTCACAGAAACCCATTTGTTTTCTAACAATGCTGTGAGTTCAGAATTTAAAATTCTAAGACTGTTGCTTAATTTCATTGAGTTCTTCAGAGAGGCTAATGGTAACCACCCCATCTCAGAGTATTGAATTCTGAGTGACAATTAGAATGTGCTATATTCCCAAGACTCTGCTTTCAATAAGCCCCCTATTTCAGCTGACAACTAATAGTAACCTAAGTAAAAGTTACAGAATGCTGTGCTGCATTATTAGTTGCATTCATTTACTAGGATTGTCATAAAAAAAATAGCAAGACTGGGTAGCTTAAATAATCATTTACTTTTTCATGGCTCTGGGGGCTGGAAGTACAAGATCAAGGTGTTAGCAGGTTGGTTTCTTATAAGACCTATCTCCTTAGCTTGCCTTCTCACTATGCCCTCACATGAAGATCCCTCTGTGTATCTATCCCCTAATTTTCTCATCTCGTGAGGACACCAGTCATCATGAATTAGGGCCCACTGTAATGATACCACTTTAAAGTCCTTATCTCTAAATCTAGTTGTATTCTGAGGTATTGAGGGTTACGGCTTCAGAATATACATTTTTTAGGGGTAGGGGCACAGTTCAGCTCGTAACACTGGTATTCCATCTTCTAATAGTAACTAGATATTCACTGCCTTCAGTATCAACTAAGTCAGTTAGTTAATTTCATGTTCTTGTCCTGAGGTTCAGTTGCTTATAACTGCTTCTAATGCCAACTACTGTGTCAACCAGGACTCCACTCTTGATAGAGTTAGAAACAACTTTGGCAAAAACCAAACAGCTTGCCACTGGGAATTAGTTGTTTGCAGCATCATAAGAGGAGCTGAGGTACAAGTTTCATGCTAGACATCTGGTAACGGCCCCTAGAACAACATTGTGGAACTGTACAACTAATGGAACTTCTACCTCAGCCAGAATCAGGAAATTGAGGGATCAGAAGTCGCTATGCCTATTTCTTGGCTCTAGGATCATGCCATCTTAGCTGTAATTGAAGATCAGGAAACTGGCCTAACTAATGGCCTTAGAGTCAGTCTATAGCTGCCAGACCTATATAATTTAACACAATGAAGAATTCAGTACCAAACACTTTTATTAAGTGTGTATGATTGGCAGAAACTGAATTACATCAGAAACTCTAACTTCAATGGCGTCTAGCAGAAAGGCTGCTTTTGGTTTTGTAGTTACTTCAGTAGCTTAAGGTCCTCTAGAAAGTAGTTGAAACTGAAGAGAACTAACAGTTATATTTATATTGACCCCTTATGTTTCTATGGAAAAACAATTTACATAAAACATGGTGGGGGGGGGCTGGAGAGATGGCTCAGCGGTTAAGAGCACTGACTGCTCTAGCAGAGAACCTGGGTTCGATTCCCAGCACCCACATGGCGGCTGTGAACTGTCCTTAACTCCAGTTCCAGGGGAATCCGAAGCCCTCTTCTGACCTCTGTGGCATTGCACAACACGGGTACACTCACGTATATGCAGGCAATACACTTATACACACAATAAAATAAAAATAATAAATAAAATTTTAAAAAATGGTAGGGATGTGATGAGAATTAAAGCATCTGCATGACCTTGTATTCCTTGAGTGAAATATTATGAAAAAAAATAGAAATTACCAGACAAAGCTGAGCTAAAATTTCACTGAAATGTGTGAGGAAGATTGATGAAGATTTTGCAGGTATTTGAAAAAAGCTTTAGTCCCTGAAGATCTTTCACCTAGTCTCTGATTATTAATTTACCTCTGGCTCTAAGTAAAATTACATGTTAGGCTTCTGAGACTATCTTTAATTAAAAGTGAGTCAGTCCAACTGTATAAACAGACATGAGAGGTGACTAATGTATTAGGTCTCTGGAGCCATGCTGCTAATCTAGGTGAACAAACTAAGTAGGTTTTCTTCTATTTAGTTCCAAATTCTGGCTAATAAACTATTTCCATTGTGAGAAACAGAGCAGGACCAAAATTCTGCCTCTCCCCATGAGGGGTACAAAATGGTTTGTGAAATGGTGGATAAAGAAAAGGCAGAATATAATGCCAGGTGTGGTGGTACATGCCTTTAATCCCAGCACTCGGGAGGCAGAGGCAGAGGCAGGCAGATCTCTATGAGTTCAGGGTCAGCCTGGTCTCCATAGTGAATCCAGGCCAGCTAGGGCTACAGGGAAACCCTGTCTCAAAAAGACCGAAAAAAAAAAAAAAAAAAAAAAGAAAAAAAAGGGCAGAATATAAAATTTATAAACTCATCCCCAAATAATTAAACATTAACCCTATAAATGATTGTAACTATAAACAGACATAATAGGAGGTACACATAATATCTATTGAAGGTATGATTAACGATGTTGGGGTTGTACTTAATATACCATGCTCCTTGGCTTACCTTACAGCACCTAGCTTGCTGGTAATGACATCGGGAACCTCATACCTTGGTTTCAGTGGAGCTTCTTCATTGATTTTAAGTCTGAAAATGTTTCTTTCTATACCATAAATTTCAGCCAGGAGAGGAATCTGGGAACAGACACATGAGATTAGCTTCAGCATGTTACTATAGTAATAATCTTTCTAACAGCCAAATTACAATAATTTGGAAAGCATTTGTTTAAATTATGACAGGTCAAGCAAACTGGAGATTGGTGGCGGTAAAAAGAATAAGCTTCTAATCCCTGTAGCTTCCAATCCACGTATGTACCACTTTATTACCTATAACACAAGAAATACCTTCTATGTGTCTAATGTTGGTAAACACAGGATTATCCAAACCAGGCCCTATAGAGTGAAGGGGGGCTATACTAATAGTTACATTAAATAATAGGCATAAACTGCAACCAGACTTGAAAAACTTAGGACATATGGCCACTTTATCTATGATAAAGTACAGATGTACTGTGATGGCTAATCCTGGGTGTCAACTTGATTGGATCTGAGATTAACTGAAATGAAAGAGATCTTCTTGATTGGATCATCTGAAGCTGGAAGACACACCCTAAATGTGGGCATTACCTTCTGATGGCAGCCGGTATAAAAGACCAAGGCAGAGGAGAATGCGGGGCTTTTTGCGGCTTTCGTTCTCTTTCACTGGTGAGTTGGTCTTGCTGCTGTAGCCGCGAGACTAGCTGATATTTTGGAATTTGTCAGACCTTCAGCACCGGATTGGGACTACTGACTGAGCGACTACAGATTCTCAGCTTCTCCAGTGTGGTGCAGCCATTGTTGGACTACTCGGACTCTATCCTGTGAGCTAAGCTGATAAATCTCTATACATATTCATTCTACTGGTTCTGTTTCTTTGGAGAACCCTGACTAATACATGTACTAAGAGCTTGGGTGTTAAATCAAGAGTAACCAGGTTCCAGCTGAATGAGAGATGAAGGAAGCCAGCCAAGGAAAAGAATAGAGTAAAATGATGATCCTTAGGTTAGCAGTGGATGAAATGAGGCTTACTGCACTAAAACCAACAGACTTCTTTTACAGCTGGGAAGAAGCCTAGGGAACTTTCTTAAGGGGCTGGGAAATTTAGGGGAAACAACACAGAACTTCGAAAAGAGTAAATTTGAAAAACAAAACTCAAAACGGGAGTGTTAAAACAACAAACAACAACAACAACAACAACAACAACAACAACAACAGGCTGGAGAGATGGCTCAGCCATTAAGTGCACTGGCTGTTCTTACAGAGGATCTGAGTTTGGTTCCCAGTACCCATATGGTAGCTAACAAGTGTCTGTAACTCCAGTTTCAGGGAATCTGATGCCCTCTTCTGGCATCCATGGGCATTGCACACATGCAGTGCACTTGTGAATACAAAAGTCATGTACATAAATAATAAATTTAAAAAAAAAGAAAAAAAACCTCAAAGGCCTCCAGAAGAGAACAGAAATGGCCGGATTCCAGTAAAAAGAGGCACCTAAATCAGAGAACCTAAATCAGAGAAACGTTTTTAAGACTATCGTTTTCAGGGAGCTGGAGGGATGGTTCAGCAGTTAAGAGTACTGGCTGCTCTTGCAGAGAGCCCAGGTTCAATTCACAGCACCCATGTGGCAGCTAACAACTGTCCTAACTCGAGCTCAGGGGATCTGGTACCCTCTTCTGACCTCCACGAGCATTGCACAATATGGATGCACTTACATGCATGCAGGAAATATATTCACATACATAAAATAGAATAAAAAATTTAAAAAGTATTTTAAAGACTATGATTTTCAACTGGTGTGCCACACTACACTGAACTATTGCAAATTCTTCATGTAGCATGATGCCAAGTTTTGGTTACACAATTTCATTATGTTTGCTATAATGTAGGCTTTGGGGGGAAAGCTGTGTGCTGTACTGTAGGAGACAGGACGTGGTAAAAGAAAGAGATAGGAATCATGGAAAATAACAAGCAGTACAATAATAACAATAAAACAATAAAAGTGATGCTAGTAGAATCTTGCCTCTTGAGATTGTAGGAGAACAGTCAGTACACTTTTATCAGCGACACAGTTCTAAGGAGTTATCAGTTAATGCTGCTGCTGCTTTTATAGTCAAAGACCGGATTACACTACAGTAATGATTATAATTACTGTTTACATATTTACTTTTTTGCATATTTGAATTACCTCAAGTATGCCATCAGAATCCCAACACTTGAAAATGGCTAATACAAATCTAACTGAAACCCAGTTAGAGTATATGATCTCTCCATAGCTAGATATATATTATCATTGCTCTCTTAAATTCAACTAACATTTATCTGATATTTAATAATGTGGTCACTAAACTCTTGGGGGGGCTTGCAATTTAGAGGAGATGAAACTAACACAACCTTTACATAATGCTAAAAAGGATAATTAAGGAAGGGGACTATTAATAAGTGCAAGATGAAAGGTTCTGGGAAGTCTCTGGGAGAGAGACTTAAAGAGGGCCTTTGGGAGCTGGTGGGACAGGGCAATACCCTAAGCAGGGGGCACACAGATGGTCCATCTATATGTGACTAACAAATTGCATCATGTACTCAGAATACTCATAATTTTAGTAAAATATCCTCCTTAATTTTTTTTAAGTCAAAGATTATAGTCAGGCATGGTAGCTCATGCCTGTAATCCCAACATTCAAATGGCAGAGGCAGGAAGATTGTTGAATCTGAGACCAGTCTGAGTTACAGAGTAAGATCCTACCTCATAACAAAAAACCCAAACCACAACGTAAAACCTAAGAGTACTCTGTATGTTCTGTCCCTGAGGCTGCAACCCAAGAATCTTAGTTATGTGAGAAGAGAAAGCAGTAACCCTGCTTCCACTATAACAATCTTATGAAGAAACCAGCATGAAACATTCACTAAAAATATTTTTAAACATAATTCAGCAAGCTTTTTTGGTTAATATTCAAACTCATTTATTTTTGTTTTACTTGTTTGATGTTAGGGATTGAACCCAAGGCCTTGCACATGCTAAGCATGAATGGCGCTCCCTCCAGTCCTGAGTCATTTTTAAATCTCATTGTCACCAACTTGGCTTTTATGTTCTAGGACTACAATGTCATTAGGTTTTTAAAAAATATTTATTATTTTTTATCTTTCTGAGACAGGGTCTCCTTGTAGCCCCAGCTGTCCTGGAGCTCACTATGTAGACCAGGCTGGCCTTGAACTCACAAAGATCCACCTGCCTCTGTCTCCCAAGTGCCGGGATTAAAGGAGTGCACCACCACACCCGGCCTTTATTTTTAATTTTATGTATATGAGTGCATTGACTGTATGTACGTAAGTGCACTGTATGTATGTAAGTGTAGGTCAGAGGGCACCTGATTCCCCTGGAACTGGAGTTACAGATGGTTGTTAGCCACCATGGGGGTTCTGGGAATCAAACCTGGGTCCTCTATAAGAGCAGCCAGTACTCTTAGCCACTGAGCCATCTCTCTAGCCCTGCTATCCTTAGATTTTAAGTATGTTTTTTACTCTTAGATCTGGTTCACACTGTACTTTCTATCTCCTTGATTTTTTTTTTATTCTACTACCAGCAAATTCTAAGAAGTTCAATAAATAAAGCTACTCGAGTTGAAGACAGTAGAGAGTGATTCAGTTCTAGAATACATATCTGAATGGCATGGGCTTTTCTATCGATTCTTTGGTGGGTTTATCTTATGACTTGTGTTTCTTGTTATTAGGTCTCTATACTGCTTTAAAGGCCTACAAGAGTGAGTAGCAAGGTCTCTCAGCTGCTGATCAGAGAAAGGCCCAAGAGCTCACTGCTGTGGGGTATGAACTGCCTCATCCACAGCTGCAGCCAACTGATTTATTTTGAGATAGATCAGAGGGATCTGATTCTCCCTAAGGTTTTCTGACTAGGAGGTAAACATTGTCAAATAATGTTATTGTAAATGGCAGGCCTTTATTGTAAGCACCTTTTATTGTTTTCTTCACATAAGTAAGTTGTTGGAGGTCCAGATTTGACCCTTTGACAATGTTAGACCCTTCACTGGTGCCTAACTGAATTGAACATTTCTTTTTTGGCAACTGTCACCATGACATACCAGCTGCCTTGAACAATTTACCAAAGGCAAGAAACACTGCAACCAAGGTGCTGCCTAGCCCACAAACTTCTGCTTCGGGAGGCCTCTGCACCACTGTGGAAACCTTCACTTAAGCTATGACTAGCCGTGGTGACTACCAGATGACCTTACCTGCAGCTTCTTTAGAGGGTTGCTCTGGTTCTTGTAATAACAGTCCTCAATTAGGTCAGAAGGAGGAAGAACACTTCCCCAAGGAACTTGAGGCTGTGCGTATGCAAGCCCTTTAACTGGTAGAAACGGAAACTGCACTACGATTAGTGAAATTATAGTCTAAGTCCAAGGGTGCCACACTCCTTTTCTAGCTATACAACCAGGTTGTTTGCCAGTTTACTTATTTGTCTAATTTATTTTTTTTTTATTTATTGCTTTTTTCTGACAGTCTCATGTAGCCCAAGCTAGCCTCAAGCTTGCTATGTAGCTAAGGATGAATTTGAATTCTGGATTCTCTTACCTCCACTTTCCAATCCTGGCTTTGCCACTTCTTTTACATTATAATGTCTGGGAGACTTCTGTTCAGAAACTATTCCCTACCTTTGTGTTGCAATATTAAGATCTAGTAAATCATTCTCCAGAATGATCTTTTGCCTACCTTGTAGTCTTTATCAGGGGTAAAGCAAGCTTAGCTAGTTGCACAAACAGCAGACAAGAACCAGGGCTTGTTACATTATTTGTAAACCCAGCACTCCAGAGACAGGAGGATCCCAATACCTCCCTGGGCTACTCAGTAAGTTTGAAGCCAGCCTGATGATTTCCAAGACTGTCTCAAAAACTCAAAATTATTGGTAGTACACACTTGTAATGCTAGCACTTGGAAAGTAGAGACAAAAAGATCAGTTCAAAGTCATGCTTAGCTAAATGAATTCCAGGCTAGCCTAGGATATATAAACCCCTGTTGTTGTTGTTGTTGTTTTTAACAAAGAGACTAGAGAGATAGCTCAGAGTTAAGATTACTTTCTGCTCTTT